GGGGCGGGCTGCCCCGGGTCCGGCCGCGTTTCCCGGCGGGGTGTACGGCCTGCGGAGGCTGGGGGGAGAGCTGCCCGAGCTGGGGCTGCCAGCGCTGTTCGGCTCCGGAGCGATAAACCTCTTGCCCAATTCAGGGAAGGCCATGTGGCATCATTAATAGATCAACGTATTAAGCAGCCACCATCCTTAACAACCGTGTTAATATTTAACCAACTCACTGTCTGTATCCATCGGTAGCATCTTACTCCTGATCTTAAATATTCACTTACTGGTTAGAATTAGATCTGCTGAATATCCACAGCACAGGTGCCCACTGTCCTTCTGGAGCAGGGTTAAAACATGAGCAGGCTAGTTCCTCCTCTGGGGCAGGACAAGGCTCATTGCTGCTTCTCGCTGAGGTAATCCTAAAGCGAGCAAAGCGAAGCGGTGTTCATCCCCTGTGTTAAGGTCCTGCTTTGTAATCATCACCTCATTAAACACTTGTGTGCAGTTCCAGACGCTGCCCAAAGACACCAAGTGCCAACCCATAAACCAGCGTGGAGGTCCTGCAGCATCTCCTCGCTGTTCATGGCCGTGAGAAGCCAAAGCAGCAGGAGCGTGCAAGGACTCATCACACTCACGTTCTCAACAGCCCTGAGACAAAGCGTCTCTGCTTTCGACAAAACAGGTGCAACAGGCACACGGGTGCAATGGTGAGCTTCACTCACGGGCAGCAGCAAACGTGCGGTGAGGTCAAGGGAAAATAGTTGTAGTCTGGGTGTGCTGATTTGCCATGTGTTATTGATTCTCTGACAACGTGAACTTGCACAGCAAGGCAAACCTGGGGAAAGGTGCTGGGTGGTAACTTAACCCTAAACTCCATGTGGGTTTGACACAGGTTGTAGTAATCACTACCTAACAGCTCTGCATACAGAGTTCTTCTCTTTCTGCCCTTTTCTATTCACTGTGATTTTTCACACCATCACATAGTTATAAAATAAACCCTTTTGGAGTACCAATCCTAAGAAGAGCTTTGTTCTGGTGAGATTGAAATGACATTTAAAAATGTTCTTACTACGTATTTTCTTTACTGAGAAGCGTTGAGATGCCCAGGACGATTCAAGCGTACTGAATTTCTTGTTGTGGTCTGCAGGCCACAGCTCTCTTGGCATCAGCAGTACAAAGGACATGAGCCAAAACACAATGGAAAGGAAGTCATGTAAGGCTAAGAGTGTGTCAGACCAGAATTTCCCTTAAATTTATTGGCCTGCTCACAGAGCCAAAAGCCTAGGTCAGGCAGACTGAAAAATGGGTGTGGGATGGGAGGAAGTGTCAGAGAATATAGAAAATTTACATCTGTAGCAGATGCTTAGGGGTCTCCAGCTACCGCACCTTTATTCAGAAGATAGAGCAGGAAGTCCAGTTATTTCTGTAGACTCCGAAGGCCAAAAGGATAATGGGTAATCTTCATCCCCCTGTAGCATTTACAGATAAGAATAAGGACAATAAAAGAAAGTATTAAGATAAGGGGAGTAACTTAAGCCAGCTTAGTTTAAAAAGTCTGCATAATCATTCAAAAGTCATCTGTTAAGAAGTAAAGCAATTTGTTTCTGAGGGCTTAGAATGGAAAATTGCTTTAATACAATGACTTTGTAGAAAATCTGTCAGGCCATCTAAAGCATGATCACTTAATTATAGTTCTCTACTTACTTCCTACTGATTACAATATTTTTATTAGTATTACTTTGTACTCTCTTTTCCAAGTAACCGAAGAGCTGCTGCAAAGGCTGTTTTTAGCCAAGATCTAAATATGGTTTATCAATCCTTATAACTGTAAAATAAAGATAAAAACCATGGACAGTATTTTGATTTTTTGTTCCCAAGTTTTGTTTACCTAATAATCTATTTCTGTACTGAAAAAAACCCTTAAAGATACCATGTCCAACTAAACTAACAGAAAACAGTTTCATGTCTATTGCCCTCTAGTTAACCAAACTGCTGTACAACCATTGCAGCTCCTCTTTGTATTCCTGCCCCATCTGCCACCTGGCATACCTTAGATCTTCACCTAGACACCTAAAAATCCATGGATTTTCCCCAACCATATCCCCTAAAGTGCCCCTCCTCGGTTAACCTCTCTTCTGCCCATGTCCTTTCACTGTCAGCTGTACAACAGACATCAAGCAGTGCAAAAACCATGAAAATCACGATGTGACCGTAGCGTGCAGACTGCTTGAGCCTACACCACTGCATGTGGGAACAGGCTGACTTTACTCCTCATTTCACAGGAGAACTCGGTACCTCTGGATTTTTTAAATGCCTCCCATTGAGTCGATTTGAAACTAGTTAGCAGGTTGAAATGTCAGCAGAAAAGGGATCAGGTAGTCAGTGCCATCTGAGGGACAGTGGTGCTTTAGAGGAAAAAGATATCCCCATTGCCCATCCTTAAATGAGAATAGAGACCTATTTGGTTGATATGTCTCTTTCCCAAATGAAGTTCCTAACAAATCATGAAGATACTGTATAAAAAAAAAAAAAAAAAAAAAAAAAAAAAGCCCACACAGAAAAAGTTTTTGAGACTGCAAACTGTTTGGTTTACGATGAGTGCAAGCAATGAAGGCTTGTCATTCTGGTAGAACATCCTTCCTAATTTGATTTTCATTTATTGTCTTTTATTACAACCCAGACATTGTAGCTCTCATTCAATGAATTGAGTAGCTGATATTCTTTTTAGACCTTTTAAGATTTAACATCTTTCCAATCCAGTTATGTTAGACTTCCGTGCAGGCTTGCTCATACTGTTCTGTGAGTGGTCATACTTGGTGGTTTTTTTTTTTTCTTGTAGCAGTCAAGAGACAAAGGGCCTAATAGTATGTTAATGTGATTTTATAGTAGCTTGTTGTCAGAACAGCTCAGACTGATTGCTGCTCTTTCTGTCACAATACCTGGAGGATATTGAAAAATATGGTATCATAGAGGAGAGTGTTTCCATTTGAGCCTTCTTAGGCTTTTTCTGTATTAAAAGGTTAATACAGTTTTTGGAAAAGCTGTGAGGATTAACTTGAAAAGTTACTGTGAGTATTTGATTGGATGGTCAGTTGTTATTAATACAATTGTTGAGATCATCATTGCTACCAGAAAGTCAGGAATATCTTTTTTTTTTTTTTTCTACATAGAATGCTACCAACAGCTGCTGCAGCAATGTGGAATCTTAAATGCAAAGTGCTGTGGCTTAGTAAAAGTCAAATACAAAATCATTGAATTTAGCTTAGGGATGACTTACAGAAACCAAACTGTGGAGAAAGTGAGTGTAACTATCCAAATAAGAGGTGGAGAAGCTAGTAAACCAATCCAGCTGAACAGCATGCCTCAAGAGCTCTTCTGACTCAAAACTGAATTATTTCATAAATGAAAAGGTGAGATTCTGCTGAAGCTAAAGAACATAGGCTAACAAGCAATGTATAAGTTCAACTTCTGAGATGGAATTTTATGAACAAATCACTGAAGTTGTTAAACATAACAAAAAGAAAGTTTTTTAAAAACAGTAGAAGCAGGAAGCCAGTTTAAAAAAAAAAATACAAATGCAAAAAAGGAATAAATCTGTTTGGCCTCGCATACTAGTTGTAAGCAACAGAACAACTAAGAAAGATCATTTCCTGATCCTTGCTGTTGTGGAGGAGAATGTTGAAATTCACTGCTGTACCTTTTAAAGCTGCTGGTAATCTGGATAACGTATTCAGCATCAGAAAAGTAGATACTGGAGCAAACTGATAAACTGCTTTTTAGTTTAAGTCTGAGAATTGTGAAAGAAAATTGTGCAGTCAAGCTGCTAACAAAATATAAAAAGTGCCTCTAATGGAAGTTGTTAGACTGGATTGTCAGTGGATAATACATCATGTCTTCTTTGTTTTATATGAAACTCCATGCTTTAATTTCTAATATCTCTTTATGGCTTTCATGATGAGACATGACAGGATGTGGGTAATTCTCAGATAGTAAAAAAGTTACATGGGGTGAGTTCTGTGCTGGTCAAGAAAAAAATGCATGGATTTGCCCCCAGCCCCCAATATGAAATAGTTATAAAACACCCAATAGTATCTCACTATATTAAGTAACTTTATAATCTGTTCCAAATTAAACATTAGTATTAGAAATAGAAAAACCTTAATTCCTTGAAGTGGACTGGCTCATTAGGGATCTTGGAAAAAACACCTTATCTTTACCTTCTTAAATGTTCTTTTTTTCCCTTCTTTTTCCATTTTTTGCCTTGACTCAGACACATTTTTGTGGTCTAATATTGTTAAAATGGATACAAATTGCTCCTGAATTACATTGGCCTGAAAATATGACTAGCAATGGCATTATCTATTCAGCTGCAGCTGTACTATCAAGTAAACCTTTGAGAAAAGGTTTTGCATGGGCAAATGAGACAACTGTGAGAATTAAATTCTTAAATGTTGCTTTGAGCTTTTTTCTTTGGCAAAAATACTTTATCAGGTACTAAATAACATTATTAGAGACCGTGTTCTCAATCTGCTACAACAACATATAAAGCTGACACAAACACCTAATAAAACATGATAGGGTACAATAGCTAATTCTTCTGACCATTTTTCAGTAAAACTGCAAATAAAAGTATTACTGTCCCTTCTTTAAATAACATAAAACATCCCACCTTCTGACGAGCATGTGTGAAAGCATTGCTGCTTCGCTCTTAACATTTCTTCTGGTGGTCTGTGTCCTTTGGGAGCAACCTGCAACTTCTTTTGTATGGTTTTCAAGTGTTACTGTTTTCTGCCTTGTGGCGTTATTCTACAGGAAACTACAGAACGGTTAAATCAGGAAGGTTTTGGCTACAAGAGACTAGAAACCAGACCATGATGTATCCACGAGACTTTGGTTGTGGCTGCTCTGATTTCCCACATAGCCTCTGCCAGTGGAGGCTCTCCTTGACTCTATCAAAGATCTGCTGAGGCAAATCTTCCTTGCTTAAGTGAGCTGAGCTTTTCCAGTTTTGGCCACTATTTGGGATTACCAATAGTGACAATTCCGCTCTGGAGAGCCAGTGGTTTGTGAGCTACCTGCTGTGGAGAGCTGGTTCATCCCTATGGTGGCCCTCAGAGCCAGCATGGAGCACCTCATGCCCAGACAAGACAGAAAGCCCTCAGGGAGTTGGCTGAATGTTGACTTTTTGTTACTTGGGCTAGATTACTCACAGGCTGAGATGCTTTTATAATTGGATGAAGGTATAAATTAGATTGAGGGTGGAGGCTGGGCTCCACGCTGGAAACAGGCCTTGTACTGGATGTGTTGTTTTGCTCTGCCCAGGGCCTCGCCCTGCAGAGCCGTGGTGGGTGGCAGAGGATTGCTGCCAGCTGCAGAGCTCCGGGCCGGGCCTGCTCAGCGCTCGGGAGATGCAGCTGGTGCGTCGGGGCAAGACGCCGCCGCCTCCCTCAACCACCCGCCCTGACGGAGAGGTAGTAGCATTTCCCCGCCACTCCTTATATAGCCTCGGGGGAGAAGGCGGGCCGACAGTTGCGATTGGCTCACCCGCCTGCTCCTCTGGCCGCCCCGCACGTGCCGGCACTGTTTACCCCTGTC